TATATACACATACATGTTGTTGTTATGTGATGTCAAGTCACCTGTGACTCATAGTGACCCTATGTACAACAGCCCTAAACTCAGACCTGTCCTGTGTCTATCTCCGACACAGCTACCCCCGTTACCCCAGTCACTGAATCAATCCATCTCATCGAGGGTCTTCCTCTCCTGCGCTTTCCACCCTCCCAAGCATGATGTCCCTTTCCAAGGACAAGTCCTTCCTTGCAGCATATCCAAAGTACATCAGACGAAGCCTCAGAATCCTTGCCTCCAAAGAATAGCCCGGCTTCACCCCCTCCAGGACAAACTTGTTCGTTTTCTTAGCAGTCCATGGTATATTCAATACTCTCTCCAAAACCCAGCTCAAAGGCATCAATTCTCCTTCTATCATCCCTAGTCATTGTCCAGCTCTCTGATACAAAGCAAGTGATTTCAAAGATCATGGCATGTATCAGGCGCACCTTAGTCTCCAGACTGACATGGTTGCACTTCAGCACTTTAGAGAGGTTTCTAACCACAGACTTTCCCATCGCAATACATCTTTTTAATTTCCTGGCTGCTGGTGCCAAGAATGTTGACTGTGGAGCCAAGCAAACTAAAGCTGTGAACAATCTCAATCCCTTCACTATCCATTATGATGCTGCTAATTGGCCCAGTGGTGAGAATCTTTGTTTTCTTGATATTGAGCCTCAATTCATATTGAAGACTACAGTCCCTGACCTTCCACAACAAGTGCTTCATGTCCTCCTCAGTTTCAGCAAGCAGGGTTGTGTCATCTGCATAACACAGATTGTTGATGATTCTTCCTCCAATCCTGATGCCACACTTCTCCTCATAGAGCCCAGCCTCCCAGGTAGTCTGTTCTGCATAAAGATTGAAAAGGTATGGAGACAGGATACAGCCCTGGCGTACACTCTTCCCAATTTTGAACCATGCAGTGTTTCCCTGCTCTGTTCTGATGACTGCCTCCTGGTCCAAGTATATGTTTTCCCATTAGTACAATCAAGTATTCTGGGATATCCATTCTTCTCAGAGTTAGCCACAGTTTGTTATGGTCCACACAGTCAAATGCCTTTGTGTAATCAATGAAACGAAGATTGATATTCTTCTGATACTCCTGGCTTTCAGCTAAGATCCATCTAACATTAGCTACAATATCCCTTGTACCACAACCCCTTCTAAACCCAGCCTGCACTTCTGGTAGTTCTCTTTAGATGTGATGTTCCAGTCATTTTTGGATAATCTTCAGCAGAATCTTGCTTGCATGTAATATTAATGATATTGTTCGATAATTTCCGCACTCTGTGGGATTACCTTTCTTTGGAATGGGAACAAATATAGATCTCTTCCAGTCAATTGGCCAAGTTGTTCTTCAGATTTCTTGGCACAACTTGGTGAACACATCTAAGGTAGCATCTGTTAGTTGAATTATGTCAATTTGGTATACCATCAATTCCTGCGGCTGTATTCTTAGCCAATTCTTTCAAAGCAGTCTGAACTTCTTCATCACCATAGGCTCTTGCTTGTATGTTGTTTATTGAAATTCTTCTGTGTCTGCCAATTCCTTTTGGTATAATGACTCTGTATATACTCTTTCCACCTTCTTTAAATATTTGTAGGATCACCCAATATTCTACTCAAAGCATCCTTTTTTTTTCTTTTTTTTTTAATCTTTATTTTATTATTTTGTGTGTGTGTACCGTCAAGTCAGATCTGACTGGTACAGGAGGAGATTGTTCCTCCTTCCTCGGCAGAGCATCTGGTGGTTTCGAACAGTGTACCTCTGGGATTGCAGTGCAGCTTCTTGCCACTAGGCCACCAGAGCTCCCCTTCAAAGCATCCTTAAGTATTCTAACTCGAGGCTTGAATTTCCCTTCAGTTCCTTGAGCTTAAGAAATGCTGAGAGAGTTTGGCCCCTTTGATTTTCTGACTCCAGCTCTTTGCACATTTCATTGTAATACTTTGTCTTGTCACCCAGCCTTTTGAAATCTCCTGTTCAGCTCCTTGATGTCTTGATTTCTTCCTTCTGCTTTGGCTTCTCAGCATTCCAGTTCCTGTATTAGAAACTAGAACTGATTCCAGAGTTTTAAAAAAAAAAAAGAAAACTGTCTCATCTCTTCCCCTCAGATGTGATAATGCTGAGTGAAGCTGGCTTCCTGTACTGCTTTAAATACCTAAACCCATCTTGGTTCTCTCATGAAGTAAGCTCAGTTTCATCACCTAAAGGTCTCTGTTCAGGATGGTCTGCAGACCGTGGCAACAATTTTCTTCTTTAGCTGCCTCGTTTCCGCTCTTCCATCAGAATAGATTTTGTGAGCTCTTCTTTGCAGATTTTTAAAGAGGTCTTTTAAAACCTTTTCAATGAAATTAGTCCCATTAGAGTTAGGTTTAATTTTCAAATGCATAGTTTGGAATCAGGAAAGGTGTGTGTCAGGGTTGTATCCTTTCTCTAAACCTAGTCAATCTATATACTGAGCAAAATATTCAAGAAGAATTATATGAAGAAGAATGTAGCATCAAGATCAGAGGAAGATTTGCTTTTCCCGTCACCGCCAGGTTGTGTGAAGGCGAAGGCCCGGGTGCGTTCAAGATTCCGCTCTACCTGTAAGTCACCGGTGTTCCTGCTGGAGTTGTAATGGATGTTAATACCACTTTACAAGAGGCGCTAAAGACCGCCCTCATCCACGATGGCCTAGCACGTGGAATCCGCAAAGCTGCCAAAGCCTTAGACAAGCGCCAAGCCCATCTTTGTGTGCTTACATCCATCTGTAATGAGCTTCTGTATGTCAAGTTAGTTGATGCCCTTTGTGCTGAACACCAAATCAACCTGATAAAGGTTGATGATAATAAAAAAAATGAGGGAGTGGGTAGGCCTCTGCAAAACTGGTCGAGAAGGAAAACCCTGCAAAGTAGTTGGCTGCAGTTGTGTAGTTGTTAAGGACTATGGCAAAGAATCCCAGGCCAAGGATGTCATTGAAGAATATTTTAAATGAAACCAATAAAGAACTTGGCATATTGCTTTTCTGTTATTTTTTGAGGGGAGTGAGGAGCAATAAAATGGAGATTTGATAACAGAAAAAAAAAATCAGAGGAAGATTTATCAACAAGCTGTGCTGTGCAGATGACACAGCCTTGCTTAGTGAAGAAGTGAAGGGTGAAGAAGATTTGAATTGAAGCACTTGCCATAGAAGATCAAAGACTACAGCCTTCAATATGCATTACATCTCATCATCAAGAAACAAAAATCTTCACCCCTGGACCAATAAGCAACATCATGATAGAAGGAGAAAAGATTGACGTTCTCAACAGTTTTATTTTACTTGGATCCACAGTCATCATTCATGGTAACCACAGTCAAGAAATCAAGAGACAGGTTGTTCTTGTTACTTACCATCTAGTTGCTTGTGATTCATAGCGACCCTATATACAACAGCCCTGAAACCTGCTCTATCCTGAGCCAATTTGATTGTCTCCGACACACCTACCCTATACCCCGTCATTGAATCAATCCATCTCATCCAGGGTCTTCCTCTTCCACACTATCCCACCACTCTTCCAAGGACTGATCCCTCCTTGCAGCATGCCCCAAGTACGTGAGACAAAGCCTCAGAATCTTTACCTCCAAGGAGCAGCCTGATTTCACCATCTCCAGTGCAAACCTGTTTGTTCTCTTAGCAGTCCTTGATATATTCATTACTCTCCTCCAAAACTACAACTCAAAAACATTGATTCCTATCTCATTCTTAGCCTTTGTCCAGCCTTCTGATGCATAGAAAGTAATTGTAACGACCATGGCCTGGATCAGGCTCACCTTAGGCCCCAAACTGACACGATTGCTCTTCAGTACTCTGAAGAACAGTACTTGACAGCAGATTTTCCCAATACAATTCATCTTTTGATTTCTCCTGGCTGCTAGTACCAAGTCAAGTAAACTGAAGCTGTTAACAATCTTAAATCTCTTCTCCGTCTATCATGATGTTGCCAGAGGGTCCGACCAGTGGTGAGAATCTTTGTTTTCTTCATGTTGAGCTTCAATCCATATTGAAAGCTGCAGTCCTTGATCTTCTGTAGCAAATGCCTCAAGTCTTCCTCAGTTTCAGCAAGCAAGATTGTGTCATCAGCATAATGTAGATTGTTGATGAGCCTTCTTCCAGTCCTGATACCACATTTCTCCTCAGAGAGCCCAGCCTCCTGAATGATGTGTTCCACATGTAGGTTGAAAAAGTATAACATAGCTAGGACACATCCCTGGTGTACACCCTTAACGATTTTGAACCATGCAGTGTTTCCTTGCTCTGTTCTGATGACTTCCTCCTAGTCCAAGTACAGGATTCACAAAAATACAATCAAGTGTTCTGGAATTCCCATTCTTCTCAGAGTTAGCCACAGATTATTGTGATCTCCACAGTCAAATGTCTTTACATAGTCAATGAAACACAGATTCCTCTAATACTCTCAGCTTTCAGCTAAGATCCATCTAACATTGGTTATAATGTCCCAGGTGCCACAGCCTCTTCTAAATCCAGTCTGCACATTTCGCAGTTCTCTGTTGATGTGCTGTTCCAGTCAATTTTAGATAATTTTCAGTAGGATCTTGCTTGCATGTGATATTAATAATATTGTTTGATCATTTCCACACCCTGTTGGGTCACCTTTTATTGGAATGAAAACAAATACAGGTGGTTGTTCTCCAGATTTCTTGGCACAAGTTGTTGAGTGCATCCAGGGCAACATCTCTTTGTTGAAATATGTCAGCTGGTATGCTGTTAATTCCTGAGGCCTTATTTTACACCAGTTCCTTCAGAGCAGCTTGAACTTCCTCCTTCATCACCATAGGCTTTTGATCATTTGTTGTTTAATTAAATTCTTCTGTGTCAGGTAATTCTTTTTGGTATAATGACACTGTCTATTCCTTCCATCTTCTTTGGATGCTTCCTGGGTCATTCAGCATTCTGCCAACAGCATCCTTAGGTATTGCATCACGAGGCTTGAATTTGTTCTTCAGTTCCTTCAGCTTAAGAAATGCTGAGCAAGTTCATCCCTTTTGATTTTCCAACTCTAGCTCTTTGTGCATTTCACTATAATACTTTGCCTTCCTGTGCTGCCCTTTGAAATCTTCTGTTCAGTTCCTTAACAACTTGATTTCTTCCCTTTGTTTTGATGTCTTGGCACTCTAGTGCAATATTCATAGTCTCTTCTAACATCCATTTTGGCCTTGTCTTTTTCCTCTGCCTTTGTAATGACCTTTTGCATTCTCATGGATGATATCCTTGATATACTCCCACAGTTCATCTGCTCTTCGCTCATTAGTATTCAAAGGCTCAAACCTGTTCCTGAGATAGTCTTTAAATTCAGGAGGGATCAACTCAGGGTTGAACTTTGGTTCGTGTAGATTTGATTTTATTTTCTTTAGCTTCAGTTTGAACTTGCACACAAGTAGTTGATGATCTGATCTACAATCAGCACCTGGCCTAGTTTTCATGGCTGATACTGAACTTCTCTAACATTTCTTCCCACATATGTAATCGGTGATAGAATTCTGTACAATCAGGAATTCATTGCAGATACCTTTAAATACATGTTACATGGGGAAATCTGCTGTCAAGGACTCCTCTAAAGTGCTGACGGGCAACAATTTCAGTTTAAAGGTTAAGGCTCACTTGATCAAAGCCATTGTATTTTAAATTGTTTTCTATGCATCTGAAAGTTGGTCAGTGAATAAGAATGACAGAGGAAGAATTGATGCCTTCAAACTACAGTGCTGTAGAAGAATACCACCTATTACGTAGACTGCCAAAAGAGCAGTCTATCTTGGAGCAAGTGCAACCAGGGTGTCCCTTCATCTCACATAATTTGGGTGTGTTATCAGGAAGGGCTAGTCCTTAAAAAAGGACATCATGCTTGAAAAGGTGGAAGGTTAGGGGAAAAAAAGGAAGATCCTCACCAAGATGGACTGACATAGTGACAAGAACAATGGTTTTGCGCATGCTGGACGTGGTGAGGATGCAGAAAGGTTCATCCATTCACCACGGGTCATAGTTGACTCCAGGGCACCTAACAACAACAGGCAGTGTTTCATCAGTGCATTTAAAGAAGGCAGCATCAGGGACCTTACAACGAAATTTATTTATGCTCTAATTTTATTTTTTGCAGTGGATTTATCTTATTTTTTATTGGCAGAAATAGAAGTATGACTGTCAAAATTAGAGAAAGATTATAGGATTTGTGTTGAGAGAAGGATACTTAGAGGATGTAAATTCCCTATTAAGAGTTTGTATTCTATTACATAGCCAGCAAGAGACATGACAAGATGGCGTGGGATTTTTTCTTTATCTTTAGGCAGGAGAGTGGTCCTTTGGAAGATTAATTTAGAATCTACTTGCAGCATTTCATGGAAGCAAAGAGTGGAAACAAAAGCCAGTAGGTCATTAGAGGCACTAAGGATTTTATTTTCTTGGACACAACAGAAACATGCAGAAAGCAGAGTGTTAATAGACACCAACCAAAATGACAGTGTCTGCACTATTGAAACAGAAGACTGAGGGCTGTTAAAGGATTTGGAGGTTACCAGAATTTGGAGATAAAATGGTCAATATTGTCATACAAATGAGTTTGAAACATTGGGAAAATAGGTGAGAAATTTACTAAATGCTTGGAAATCTGGGGCTCATGCCCCAGGGAACACTTAGAAATGTATTCTTTGGAATAATTTGTTCAAAAATAGTTAACTCTTTTAAGCAGGAGAGACAAGGAAGAAAGTGTCAGAACTTACTGACCCCTAATAGGAGGAGGAAGATGGAGAAAAAGAATTAGGGTAACAGTCTCTTCAGGGGACGGCAAAGGGGGAGAATGTTTAATAGAAGAGGAAAGAAGTTTAGGATTAATGAAGATCACCAAGAAAAGGGCTTGGCTATAGTAACTAGAAGGAGTCATGTATTAATCTCAGAGAGCAGTTTCTAGTGGTGTGGGGTATCAGAAGATAGCAGTCAAGAACAACAGTTGTAGAGAAAGCATTCTAATGACATCCATATCTGGGAATAAAAATCCAGAGTGCAGTGGCTCCAAGAATATTTTTAGGATTGGTGAGTTCTAGACCTTATATAACCCCACAAGAAGAAACCTTTAGCAAGTATTAGATATTGAGTATGTGGATAAAATTGGAAAATTGGAAAAACAATTATACTGATACTGAAAACTGATTCAGAACAAAGCTTCCATTTCAGAATCCTTAGAAACTTTTAAAATGTCACCTGAGCCCCACTCCAACTGTCTTGGGGAATATGACAAGGGTACTGCCCAGATCATTAGGATTACTCAGAAGCAATCAGGTAGCTAATCTAAATGTGGAGATGAGTGATGAATGTATTTTTATAACTTTCTCTATTACTATTTGGTATTTGTGGAGATTAGCCCAAGTTTTAGTCAGAAGGAAAAGAATTAGTGTTTTCTCCTGGGTTCACTATTTATTAAAGTTATATTCGTGGAGACAGGGATGCTGGGAAGCCACAAGATATATGGCCAGTGGGGACAGGCTCAGTGTAGAAATCCCTTCTGGGGCCCTAACTGTTTCTTTCTAGCTTGTCCCCAACCCCAGCAGCTCCCTCCCAAGCAGTCTAACTAGACTTTATTACTCAAACAAGTCAGGTGTTTTCATCCCATTTCTCCCTTCCTGTAGCACTTGATTTCTGTTTCTCAGCAGTTTCTATGTGTCTTTTTTTTTCCCTTCTATTTATTTTCCATCTCCTCTAGTGGACTGTGAACTTTGTAAGAGACAGACTAACTCCTCTTATGCCTAGGCCAGCATTTGGCTTAGTAAATAAGTATTTGCTGAATTAATTATGTAACTTAATTTCTCTAGTCCCTATTCATTTCCTTTAACTGTGAGGGACATCAAAAGTACTCGTTGACTATATCATTTTTAAATAAATAAGTGTGTAAATACAAGAATGAGCAGACCTTTTTACCCAAAAAGCTAGGATTTAGTTAGGAATAAATTAGAACTTATATACACATACCTGGTTGAACACCTAAGTGCCGTGGAAGCATACAAATGCCATGTGTAGACTCTTCACTTGCCTCTAGAACAGAGTTATTAATTCAGAAACATGGGTTCCAAAAAGGTGAACTGTATGAAATGAGCTTGCATTTCTTCCTGAAGGTGGGTCCATAGAGGTAAATTGTGAACAGGATTCCAGAAACCCTGTGAGGGATTTTCCTGAAGAGATCAGTTTTGTACTGCTATCTGAGCAGCATCTAGAGACTGGACGTACTCATTCATGCTGTTTGCCTCCTACAGGTATTTCCTCCGAGCCACCATCAGCCGCCGCCTCAATGATGTTGTCAAAGAGATGGATATTGTTGTTCATACACTTAGCACATACCCAGAGCTAAACTCCTCCATCAAGATGGAAGTTGGGATTGAGGACTGTCTACACATTGAGTTTGAATACAACAAATCAAAGTAAGTGTCCCAGGCCCCAGATTATTAAGAGTAGGCAAAAACGGGAAAGATCACAGAAATGTGACAGCGCATGGATATATATGCACAGCTGGCTAGACATAGGCTGACCAAGGTTTTGGTTACCTACTGCTGCTGTAACCAAAATATTACAAGTGGATACCTTTAACAAAGAGAAGTTTATTCTCTTAAGTTTAGGACGCTGAAAGCGCAAATTCAGGCTGCCAGCTCACTGCCAAGCTGACATTTATTTTGGGTGAAACACAATTCAGTCCATAACAACAAGGAAGTAAAAACATTTTAATTAAACTAAATATGTTAGATTAAGAAAGTAAACACTGTATCATATCTTTCTAACTAAACTAAACTGACTTAAGGTCTGGATTGTAGGTAAACTTATTTTCCTCTCCTAATGAGAATAATATCAGATACCATTCCCTTCCCTTGGCATTTGCTTCCTACTTTTTTAAAAAGAAAAAAGTGATGAAACAAATGCTGGCCAGTTTGCTACTCCTTCCCTGACTAAAATGGGTTGTAGCCAGGAGAATCTGATGCACTATTTTAAAGGTCACAAAACAGCTTTTTCCCCCCTCAGCAAGCCAGGAAGCAATGTTTGTTTCAAACTATGTTCCATGTTAAAATATTTCTTAACAACACATATCCTTATCCTTCTTTTGAATACCAAACCAAAACTCATTACCATTAATTCAGTTCCATTTTATTCTAACTCATAACAACTAAAAAGTTGGGTTAACATTTTTTTTAATATATTTTGAATTTCTCATCGAAAAGATAAGGCACTTTAGACAAAGTTAATGAGCTTAAAATGTGAAAGAGCAAAAGAATGAGAGCAGTTCTTTTACCTACACTATGTATATTTATACTTTTAAGGGTATCACTTAGAATAAAGGAAGTCTTGGTTTATTTCAGTTAGAAGACCCCTAGAATCTCTAAGCATCTCTTCTGAAATGCTGGTAAGGGTCCTAACCAAAAACCAAACCTGTTCCCAGCATGTGGATTCTGATTCAGATCAATCTTGTAGGACAGAGTATGTTGGAGTAGACTGCTACATACTTTTCCCATAGGTGGTTGTCTTTATAGTGCTCTTACCTGCTGAGAAGCTCTGGTGGTGCAGGGAATTATGTGTTTGGCTGCTAACCAAAATGATGGTGATTTGAATCCACCAGCTACTGCACAACAGAAAGGTGGGCATTCTCCTCCCGTAAAAATTCATAGCCTTGGAAACCTGGTGGAGGGTCGCTGTGAGTCCAGATTGACTCATCACTGGTGGGTCTGGGTTGAGTTAGTTACCTACTCAGTGTCTGCAGTCTCTCGATTAGATTGGATGCAAAAGGTGGTATGAAACAGGGAGAACAGAATCCTGGAATTGGGAACCTGGGCTCACTGTCTCTACCCCCTATTCAGATCCTTTCGTGGCCATGGCGTCAGGACTGACTCTCCTTTGGGTTTCCGAGGCTGTTAATTGACACAAGAAGAGACTGTCCACCTTTCTCCCTAAGAACCACTGGTGGATTTGAACCACCAGAAGGACAGCTCCCTATGGACTGCGCCATCTGCTTTGAACATTCCTTTCTTTACCTGCGATGCAGAAGTTACAGTTCTAAAATCCTGCCAGCGTTCATGCCCAGTGACTACAGTTTTCCATTTAAAAGATTTTTTTAAATTTTTTTTTATCTAGCACAAGTACAATTTACCTTTTTAACTGTGATTTCAGTGAAAGTTTACATAGCAAATTAGGTTTTCATTCAACCATTCACACACATTCTGTTTTACAATATTAATAATACCCACAATAATTTTGCCACCATTACCAGAGCATTCAACCTTAAATTAATCCTCTCCTTTTACACCAACCTGCCATCAGGGCTTTATCCATGAGCAGAGGCTGCCCCCTGGGCCTCACATGATTGGTTATTGTGATGGGTGCGTGCCCTCCTGATAGTAGTGTTCACCTTGTTGACCTACCTATTGTTCGTCTGAGAGTTAAGCCACCGGAGTTCAGGATCGTGAGGGTAACTGAGACCCACCAATCTCTGTCAAACCAGCAGCCTGACCTATTTTATGTTTTTGTGTGTGATCCACATATTTTCTCCCCCTCTATCCAGGATCTTCTTCTATACTCCTATTTAATGTTTAAAGATTTTACCACATTCCTATCATGTATAAAATAGGGCTGTGTACATTCAGACTGCCAGCCTCACTATCTGACCCAAAGAGAAAGTTCAAAGGGTCAGAAGGCTTAATGACTTCCAAGTAAGCGACAGACAGCAGTCCAGACCCCCTTCAACTAAAATGCTAGAAAACAGGTAACAAGAGAGAGATGTTAATTCCGGAACCCTGAGTTTAAAAAGAAAAGATGAAGAAGTAATTAAAACACCAACTGAAAAGAAACAAACATTGAATAAAGAGAGAACAGATGGAGACCAGGATTGTGAACAGTGTGGTGCAGCCATTTTGAAAAGCGGTCTGGTTGGCTGCGAAGCCAGGACAGTGGGACTATGGTGTTCTGAATAGCTGCCTAGTCACTGGAAACCTAAGACTGGCAGTATGCACACTAGTGGCTGACTGACTGACAGTGGAAAGGCATAATCTCTCATATTCAATAGCCTCCTGGTATAAGGGGCGAGATTCACATGACCATCCCCAGACTAGGTGGCTGACAGTGGTCCTCTGCCCTGTCCCATCTCTACCAGAGATTAAGTCTGGTACAAGGCAGTGGGGTTGTTTATATGGTTCTTCTTTCAGAGATGTCCCAGGGAGCTAGCAGATTGTGCTGTGCCTGGACTGCAGCTAGCCCTACACTGGTAGGGCACACCTCTGACAGGAGTCCTGGCCTCTCACTGAACACCCTTATAGCAGTGCACCCTCCTAGGTTTCTCAGGTTGACAGCAATTACCTTATCCCACTACCTATCTCTGACTGGATACTGTCCCTATACTTATCTGTTAGACTGGCTTGGCTAAGAGACAGTCCCTAGCGAGGCAGAATATGCCAGGTTTGCTCCTCCGACACTACCACAAACTCCTTCCCAGGATGGGTGCCCGTCCCTTCATTTCGTCTAGATCGTAAGAGGTGGTATCTGTGGCCAGGCTAGCATCTTGGGGCCTCAGCCACCTCTCAGACAAGCAGAAATTCTGATGTGACTGGGCACTGCACTGTGAGACTTCTGCTGAATTGGTAGGCAATACAGTCCCAACTAGATATCATGTCTCTGTCCTCCACAGCAGTGTCCAGAGCACCAATCAGATATCCAGTCCAACCTCCTGGAAGGTCCCTCCTTTCTCCTCTCATTTTTTAATTTCCTTTTGCTTTCCAAATTTTTGGTCACTTGTTTATTTGTTCTTATATTAGCTTCCCCTCTCTCCCATTTCTTAAGTTTCTCTTCTCATCTTTTTTACTTTCCCTACCAGTTTCGTCTCTTCTTTTCCCTTTTATGATTCTCATTATTTTATACTCCACTCAGTTTTGGTTTTTCTGCTGTCTCTACTGTCCAGTAGAATTTTTGTTTGTTTCCCTTTTCCTTTGTCCAGTCTGGCAAGACACAGCAGCCATTTCAGCAACACTTAATGCCTCCTGCAGCTTCACTTATTGGCAGAACTGAAGACCAGCTCTTGTTCCCCCTAACTGAGGAAAGACTGCAACCAGCACTGGCCCAGTCTGTCCTCAGCTTCTCTACATAAACAGCAAACCTAGAACTATGCTCATTCCACCACCCTGTGTCACACCCACCATAAGACAGAAGGTGAAACTAAGAATTACCAAATTGGGACAGCACACTCACCTGGCTCAATCAGCTAGCTAAAACAAAACAAATTAATAGAAAGCTGTAAACAGTACATGTCGTAGAGGCAGCTAAAAAAAACCCAGAAAAAGATAGAACAGAAAAGTTACCAGAAACAGAATCACGAAAATCAAATACATAAAATGGATGGAAAACTAGAAGCAAAACAAAAAAAGTTAATTGTAATTCAGAGTATTAAGGCAAAAAAAAAATCTAAAAAATAGATAACACATTTAGCGATCCCTGCCAGTGCCACTGCAGGACCATCCCAGGGGCCAAACAGGATGAGAGAGTTTGGAACAGAGACTTAGAAGCGGGGGAAAAAATTTCTCAGCTGGCACATTGAACTGCAAGAAAGAGAGCTCACCTGAAACCTCCTTGCACACAAACTGCTTAAGTTGGCACTCTGATCTCACGCCACTCCAGAGACAAAGGAAGACATTAGACTTTGGGGAGAAGAAGCCATCCAGTGAGACAGTCTCCCCCAGAGCCAGCACTTTCAGGTGCAGGGGAGAAAAGGAACAGAAACTCCCTTGGGGAAAGGTCCTTCCATTTGGGGATCCCTGCCTCCACCCCTGCTGGACCATCCTAGGGGCAAAACAAGAAAAGAAAGTTTGAGCCAGAGAGCTACAGGCAGGGGAAAGACTTTCTCAACTGGCACATTGAGCTGCAAGAAAGAGAGCTAATCTGAAACCCCTCCTGCACACAAACTGCTTAAGTTGGTGCTCCTGATCTCATGCCACTCCAGAGACAAAGGAACACATTAGACTTCAGGAGAAAAAATGCCATCAAGTAAGACAGTTTTTCCCAGAAAAACTGTGTCGGGGACAGAAGGAACTGAAACTTCACTGAAGAAAGGTCCCTCCTTTTGGGGATCCCTGCCTCTGATGTCATTAGGAAATCCTAGTGGCAAAACAGGACAAGGGAGTTTGAGACAGAGAGCTGAAAGTAGGGGAAAGACTTTCTCAGCTGCCATTTTGAGCTGCAAGAAAGAGAACTGATTTGAAACCCTATTAGACAGAAATTACTTGAGTGGAGCACCTGGTTTCGCACAACTAAGCCACTTCATAGACAAAGGAAGACAAGTGAGTTTGGAAGAGGGGACTACAATAAGTTGAGATTGCTGCAGGGCTGCATTGCAGACTGGAGAGAATGTGAAGGACTTTATGAAAGGCAATTTTCCCAAAAAGGACTTTCAGTA